CTCTCTATAAAAATCACTGGGTTTCCATCCTGACATAGCAATAATCAGCTAGTTTAGGTGAGACTTATGCTATTTGCCATACTTCTAATCATTATTATTATCCTTTTCTAAGATTGCGCTTGCACTGTTGTGTTGTATTTCTCACATCCAGCCTGGCTTTGCTCATACGTGCTCCCTGCTTGCATCCATAGGCATTTAAATTGTGACTCATGTTTTAGTAGATTTTAATTTAAAAATCTTGATTAAGCTTTAAATGAATTGCTTTAAGCTAACAAGAACTAAAACCTGTCTTGTAGACTGTACATTTATTTAAGCTAGAAAAAAGGCATAAACATTCATTCATTCACTTAACATTTTTTTAGCACTTTCTGTGTTCAAGGCATTATTCTAGACACAGGGATATAATGATACAAAACAATCCCAGTCCCTGTCCTCATGATTTTATAATCCAATTATAATATCATTATTATAATAATACGATAACTACAGTCCAATTCAATTATAAAAATGGTAGATATTTGCTCTGCAGAAGGAAATGGTTGCTATGGGAAAGTGGAAGAGGAACCTTAATCTACACAAAACAACTGTGGAAATTTTCCAAAACATAACACATTCTGTCTGCTCTTGGAGTACATAATGTGATGTTCTGAGGAATACCTATGCTGCAGGACTGGGATGCTTGTTTTCTGAGATTCAGATTTAACTATGAAGCTGTAATAAACACAAGTCAACCATCCTTTGATGATTTTAAGTTCATCTCATGATATCATGGGGTCTCAAGACTATCTTCAGGAGCATCAGTCTTCACTGCACTGAACTATAACTGGAAAAATCCCTCAATCTTTCTGGGCCTCACCATCCCCTTCTATAAACAATCTCTAGAGTCCTTTCCAGCTATAAAGCCCTATGATGTATGAATGAAAGAACTAAAAATACATGATAAAGGGTCTAGAGTATTATATTTTCTGCCTTGGTGAGTACCAAAATATCTTTGAGGGATGGTATAAGCTTGTTAAGGTGATTTTTAAACTGTGGGTCTTGAAGAAATTTGAGGATTTAGTTTAATGGAGAGAATTTAAGAGAATATCCTAGGTAGGATATGAGCAACAAAGTCAAAGGTACCAAGTATGGGCCATAATAATAAAGAAATAGGCAAACCACAGGGCACCAGCTGGCAAGAGGGCTGGCACCAGAGAAGAGCGAGAGAGAAGCTCAGAGAGAATTGTGAGGCCTGTAAATTGAATGGATTGGATCCTAGGGTAGAGAATTTAGTCCTGAAATGGTGTTTTTAGATAATGATTTGAACAATTATGTAGACCAGGCTAACTGCTTTCCCACCACCCTCAACATCACCTGGGCAACAAAGGTTCAGTAGCTTTAAGGTCTTGAAAGAATTAGTCACAGCCTAATGTCAACTGAGCTGTGATAAATCAAACTGTGACTGAAATGAAATTACAAATGCAAGCAGCCTTACAGATAGATCTATTTTTCTAAAAGCCAATGGCTGAAAAATATTCAGCAGTCTATAGTCTGAGTCAATCCTAGATAAACTGCTATTGCCAGACACTCTTCCTCCCATCCTTGGCTAAGAATGTACAAAGATCTGTTAACTAACAGATAGAAGACAAAAGAAATAGAGTTAACTGATTTTCAGGCTGACTTACAATGTGATCTACCTGGTTATTTATAAATGGCAGGCAGGGCATCATTTTCCTGGATTCTTTGGTTCAAGAAGTTTGCAATTGAGTTTTATAAAGTCTTTCACCTTTTTTAAAAGTAAAAAATGAAAAAGAGAATAGTAATGTGCTTATGTTGACACAGAATTGGGGTCATAAATGCCAAAAGATGATTTCCAAATTAAGATGATTTAAAATACAAGGAAAAAACAAGTGCCTGCCATTATTCCTGGCTATATCGGCAAGTGGTCCAGAGCATTAATTTGAATAATCATGGATTTCTTCAGTCCTTTACAGTACCCTCAGAAGCAGTTCTGTTTAATTATTTTATTTTTTCTAAATTTGAAAATCATTAACTCAGCAGGATGCTAGCCAACAGAAGCAAACTCTGAGCTCAATTGCAAAATTCCTTTGAAAAAAGATGTAGAGCCTACATATTTTGTATGGAGTCCTCATTTTAGAAATTTCCTTAGAAACTTTCCTTTATTTATCTTAAGGGATGAAATGAATCCTATACCAGCCTGCAGATAGTTCAGCTTCAATTTGCAACATCTCAAAGCAAAGGAAAAGGCAACCTTAAGGTTTCAAAACCTTAACATTTTTGGTCGGGAAATGGAAGATAAATAACTGGGAACTTATACATCTGAATTATTTGGAATCATTGTTTTGATATTTTGAAAATATTTATGCTGTGGGTGGTATGAGATCAATCAGAGTTTATCAAGCTTAAATTTTGGACTATTGCTCTGAGCAGAACTTCTCTTTGTCACTGAAAAATAGAAGGTCATGGCACTAAAACATTTGTACTTTTTGGACTTCACCTGACATAACTGATGTGTGGCCCACTTGCTACAGGGGATGGGTTAAGGGTTTGCTCTATGCAAGCAGAACTTCTGTAAATAAAATTACATTTTGAATGTAATAAGGAAGCTTCTATTTGAAGAATTCTACCTTTCAATCCATCCTCTATATCATCTCTAAAATGATCTTTTCAAAAAGGCATAAATCAGAGCATACCATTCTTGTGCTTGCTGAAAATGTTCAGTGACTTACCATCGTGTATACCTAATCTGTCTCCAGAAACTTCAATTTTCCCACTCCAATTATAATCCAACAACCACCTTTCACTCCTGTGATATAAAGTAAGGATTATTCCTAATCTCACATGAGCCCTTCGGTTATTATATCTAAGGGGTCTAGATTGGAACACCATGAACACAGTGGAAACCATGGCAACACATCAATTTTTTAAAAAAAAATACTTGCTCACTTTTCTGTTTTGTCATTCTTTAGGAAAGCTCTCCTTTTTTGTCCAGTGAACCCATTCATTTCCACTTTAATCATCACTTTCTGTTTATAGACTTGCCTAACATCTGCAACAGTTAACTGTCCTAATCATTGTATTCCTATGGTGTTTGAACTTCTATTATAACAATTGGGTGTTAATGTGGAAAACAAAGGCAAAAGAAAAATTAAATTTCCTTACTACTTATAGTCCATTGACAAGTCCTCAAAACAGTCAGAGTGACATTCCTCTAGGAGCTCAGCTGCCCAGATGTTAATACTTTGCTAAGGTCAAGAGGCAATCTTATCCCAACCCCCCAGGATCCTTTAAGTCTTCTTTAACATATAAAAATTCCTTTTGAAGTTTCCTTTATCTCTACCCCCTAAGATAAATGTAAGCAATCATCCTCCAAGCATATGGCCCATTGATACACATCTGAAGAATCTCTTCACTGAGTTTTTACTAAACAGTAACAAATGATCTTTTCCTAGCAATAGTTAGCCCCCTCAGGATCCTGGAAACCTTGTTTCCAAAATACCTTGGAGGCTTGTAACTGTCCCTAACCCCCTCCCAACTTGGAAGCATATAATCAGTCACCCATCACAACCCCAGTGCAGCTCTTTCTGCCCATGTGTCCTGTCCCTGTGCTTTATTAAAGCACCTTTTGCACCAAAGACGTCTCAAGAATTCCTTCTTAGCTGTTGGCTCTGAACCCCAACATTTTTCTACATCAAGTGTGATTATAATTATGCCAGAACATGTTAGTCTCCTCTTATATACTCTGAGATCTGTGAGGGCAGGGGATCCTGTTTTATACAACCTTCTGTCTATAGTGCCTAAAATATAGGCTGTCTACATAAAAAATGAATTAATAAAACAATAGTGAATCCTTTTTGTGATGCAAATAACCATACCCTGATCCATTTGGCTTATGGGTTTAGATATTTGTCTGCTAGGTTTTTGTTAATTGTGGTACAACAATATGTCATGTAGCTTCAGAGAAAACAATAGGAAAATTTTCTTAGATACTGTCATACCTGATTTATGTACTAGAATGTCAAAAGGAAATGATTGGAATGACTAAGGAAAATGGTGGAAAGGAAAATGAAAATCCTAGGCTTCAATCTATTTTGTTATTAATTTGCAACCTCAGTTCTCTTACCAAACTGGAAAAGGTATAATAAAAGTATCTGGTTTGAGCTGTATCTCCCCATCCCTAGAAGAGGTACCATTATCTAGAGCAATGTCCAGAAGGCTGGAAATCCTTTGGGGAAGGAAGTCCTTGCTTAGCTGTTCTAGCACACCAGGGGCCAATATCCTTTCCTGTCATCTTCAGCAATTCAGCTTTAGCTGACACTTCCTGAAAAACACACCTCAATATTCTCTCCCTCCAGGAGGCCTCCTTTGATCGACCTCTCAGTGCACAGGTTTCCAGTTTGAACAAAACTGCATTTCATTTGTTATTATTTTGCTTTGTAAACATTCTTACGCATTTCACGTCTGTTCAGGATTCCTAGTCATAATGAAATCTTTCTCAGGGAAACATGTACACATTCTATTTCTTTGATATTCTTTTTCTATACACAGAAGCAACCAGCAGAGGATTCACCCAATGTTGACAAATAAATACATCTGTAGGAAATATTCACCACGTCTTCGACTTTCTCCTCATTTCCAAGCACTCCCCACTAAGTGATATATGGAATATTTAATTCTAATGATTTCTTTCTTTTGTTAATTTAGAAAATATCATAGCATCTTTTAAATTAATTGGAAGTCCTAAATTGCAAAAACTAAAATCCTGCGATGCTGTATCTCAAACCAGAATAGAATAAATATTGTAGTAAGTCAGGAAGCCTAGGTTTTAGTCCTGGTTTCATCCTGATGGACATTACTTTGCATTATTAATGACTATGCATCATTATTTCAGTTTCCAAGTATGTAAAACAGAACAATAAAAATACTCTACCACCGTCATACAATTGGTGGGAAGATTATTTAGATAGGATGGAAACGCTTCAAAAAGAAAAAGCCACTACCTTTGAAGCATCCTCATTTCCTTCCATGTGTTATACATGACACAGTTACTCAGTGGTGTGCTGATAAATGGGCTCTCTGGAGAGGAAAAAAAAGGACCCAATTTATAGCATTTACTGATCTCTTTGATGTAAAGACTCCCACCATGATTGATTTAAAGTTATCAATAGTTTAACAATCACCTTGAAAACTCTTAACTATTAACAACTGGTTCTTGATATAGGCTGACTTTAGCCTGCTACTTTGACAGTAATATTAAATTAGGTCATTAGAATGAAACACACTACCCCCCTTCCCAAATCAGTCATTTTCAGTATGAAAAAGTGAATACTTCTAACCCTCATATAAGTCCTTCTACTATTATATCTATGTGGTGTTCTAGGGTTAGACACCATGGATGCAGGGGAAACAGAGTAATAAAAATCAACACATTGGAGAGTGTCCAAGATGGCAGTGTAGGAAGACCCTGATTCAAGTCCTCCTATGGACACACTGAATCTATGAACTTATATCTACATATAGAACAATTCCTCCTGAAGAATTGAGGACTGACTGAACAGCTTCTGCACAACAAACAATAAAGAAACAATACAGAGAAGAGGAGAGAAGGAAACATAATGATGGGAACCCCATCTCCAACATGGTGACCTGGAGTAGGGAGGGATATCACTGAGGGGCCTGTGCATAGACTTCCCTGCCCTGGGGTATAGCAAAAAAAAGAGCAGTTTAAAGGGCAATTAGACTATAAGTGAAAGAAATCCATTTACTAATCCTAGAGTGTTTATCAAATGGGCAGGAATTACTAGAACTTGTTTTGGAGTTGGAGGCACTAATGATTGCCATTTTTTAGTTCCTTTCCAATTTGATAGTGGGATGGGAGCAGAATCCAAGTGTGCTCTAGCCAGCCTGCTAGAGCTACCTCAGTATACCCTGGGCTCCTAGCCCATACCAGCTCCAGCAGCCTGCTAGAGCTACCTCAGCATAACCTGGGCTCCTAGCCCATATCAGCTCCAGCTGACTGTCCCCCCACATTGTAGCCCCGGTGCCAGGCACCCTGGGCCCTCTGCCGACATCAGCCCAAGCTCCAGCTGTCCTGTCAAAATGGCCCTGGTACAGCATGCCCTGGGACTCCCTGGCCCATGCCTGCTCCAGCTCCAGCCTGCCTGTCAAAGCTGCCAGGCATACACAGTTTACATAGAGGGCACTCCAACACAAGGATATTCCTTCAAGACTGGAAGAGGTAGCTATTCCACCTAATTCATGGAAACAAATACAGAAAATCAAACAAAATGAGGAGACAGAGGAATATGTTCCAAAGAAAGAATAAGATAAAACCCTTGGGGAAAAAAAAAAACCCTAATCAAGTAGAGGTAAGTAATTTGCCTGATAAAGTTTAAAGTAATGGTCATAAAGATGTTCACTGAGCTTAGAAAAAAGAGTGGAGGAACACAGTAAGAACTTCAAAAAGAGTTAGAAAATATAAGAAGAATAAATAGAGTTGAAGAATACAATAACGTAAGTGAAAAATACACTAGAGGGAATCAACAGCAAATTAGTTTATACAGAAGAACAGATCAGCAAACTGGAAAACAGAATAGTGGAAATTAATCAGAACAGCAAAAAGGAAACATAATTATAAAAAATAAGAATTTAAGAGACCTCTAGGACAACACCAAGCATACTAACATCTACGTTTTTGGAATCTGAGAAGGAGAAGGGATAAAGAATGGGGCAGAAAATTTATTTGAAGAAATAATGGCTGAAAAATTCCCTAACCTGGGGAAGAAAGCAGATACTCAGTTCCACAAAGCACAGAGACTCCCAAAACAAGATGAACCCAAAGAGAGCCACACTCTAACTAAAATGGTAAAAGTTAAAGAATTCTGTAATTATCCTAAAAACTACTGAACTGTATACTTTGAATACATAAATGTTATAGTATGTAAACTTAAGAGAGAGCCTTAAAGGCAAGAGAAAAATAAAGAGAGTCTTAAAGGCAGAAAGAGAAAAATAAAGAATCACATACCAAAAAACCTCATAAGACTATCAGTTGACTTTTCAAGAAAAAAAATTCACAGGCCAGAAGGGAGTGGCAGGATGTATTTGATGTGCTGGAAAAAAAAAAAAAAAACAACTAAGAATACTCTACCAAGTAACATCATCATTCAGAGTTGAAGGCAAGATAAAAAGTTTCCCAGACAGATAAAACTAAAAGAGTTCATCACCACCAAACCAGACACAGGAATGTTAAAAGTCTTCTTTAAGTGGAAAAAAGGCCATAACTAGAAATAAAATATATGAAAAAAATCTTAATGGTAAAGTAAATATATAGTAAAGGCAGTGGACAGCCACTTATAAAGCTAGTATAAAGATTAAAAAACAAAAGTAGTAAAATCAGCTATAAATATAATAGTTAAGAGATAAAATAAAAAGATGTAAAATATGATGTCAAAAACAAAACTTGGAAGGGGGTAAAAATGTACTGCTTTTGGAATGCATATAAACATAAGTGACTATCAAGTTAAACAGAAGTATATATATAACAAGACTCATTTATATGCTACCTACAAGAGACTCACTTCAGATTTAAGACACACAGGAACTGAAAGTGAAGGGATGGAAAAAGATATTCCATGCAAATGGAAATGAAAAGAAAGCTGAGATAGCTATACTCATATCAGACAAAATAGACTTTAAAACAAAAATTATAACAAAAGACAAAGAAGGGCATTACATAATGATAAAAGGATTAATTCAAGAAGAGGACATAACACTTATAAATATTTATCTACCCAACATAAGAGCACCTAAATATATACAACAAGTATTAACAGACCTAAAAGGAGAAATTGACAGTGAGACAATAATAGTAAAGGACTTAACACCCCACTCACATCAATGGATAGATCATCCAGAAAGAAAATTACTTAGACCAGATGGACTTAATGGATATATACAGAACATTTCATCCAAAAATTGTAGAATATACATTCCTTTTAAGTGCACATGGAACATTCTCCAAGATAAATCACATGTTAGGGGGACGCCTGGGTGGCTCAGTCGTTAAGCCTTCAGCTCAGGTCATGATCCCAGGGTCCCAGGATCAAGTCCCACATCGGGCTCCCTGCTCAGTGGGGAGCCTGCATCTCCTTCTCCCTCTGCTGCTCCCCCCCGCTTGTGCTCTCTCTCTCTCTCTCTGACAAATAAATAAAAATCTTTAAAAAAAATAAATCACATGTTAGGTTGCAACACAAGTCTCAATAAATTCAAGAAGACTGAAGTCATATCAAGCATCTTCTCTGACCACAAGAGTATGAAACTAGAAATCATCAAGAGAAGAAAACTGGGAAAAACACAAACATGGGGAGACTAAACAACATACTAAACAATCATGTGTCAATGAAGAAATCAATGAGGAAATTCAAAAATACCTTGAAACAAATAAAAATGAAAACACAATTTTCCAAAATCTATGAAATATCACAAAGGTGGTTCTAAGAGGAAAGTTGATAGCAATACAGACTTCCCTCAAGAAACAAGAAAAATCCCAAATAATACAACTTTACATCTAAAGGAGCTAGAAAAAGAAAAACAAAGTCCAAAGTCAGTAGAAGAAAGGAAATAATAAAGATCAAAGTGAAAATAAATGAAATACTCAAAAGCAATCGAAAAGGTCAATGAAACTAAACTGCTTCACTGAAAAAATGAAGCACTGAACCTCTAGCCAGACTCACCAAGAAAGAGAGAGGGACCAATAGATAAAATCAGAGATGAAAGGGAAGTTACAATTGACACCAGAGAAACACAAAGGATCATAAAAGACTACCATGAACAATTACATGCCAAGAAATTGGAAAATTTAGAAGAAATGCATAAATTCCTATAAACAAGCAACTTTTGAAGACTGAATCATGAAGAAACAGAAAATCTAAATAGACCAATTACGAGCAATAAAATGAAATTACTAATTAAAAACTCTCCAAAACAAAAATCTAGGACCAGATGGTTTCACAGGTGAATTGTACCAAATATTTAAAGAAGAGTTAGTTCCTATTTTTCTCAAATTATTCCAAAAAAATGAAGAGGATGAAATGCTTCCAAACTTATTTTATGAGGCTAGCATTACCCTAATATCAAAAACAGACAAAGGCACCACATACACAAAACTACAGGCCAAGATCTCTGATGAACATAGATGCAAATACCCTCAACAAAATATTAGCAAACCAATTTCAAAAATACATTAATGGGATCATACATCATGATCAAATGGGATTTATTCCAGGGATACAAGGATGGTTCATCATTCACACATCAATCAGCGTAATACACCACATTAACAAAATGAAAGATAAAAATTATATAATCATCTCAATAGATGCAGAAAAAGCATTTGCCAAAATTCAACATGCATTTATGATAAAAACTCTCAACAATGTGGCTATAATAAAGGCCATATATGACAAACCACAGCTAATATCATACTCAATTGTGAAAAGCTAAAAGCTTTCTTTTAAAAAAAAAATGTATTTATTTTATTTTTTGAGAGAGAGAGCAAGCACGAGTGGGAGGAGGAAGGGCAGAGACAGAGGGAAAAGCAGACTCCCCGCTGAGCAGGGAGCCTGATATGGGGCTCGATCCCAGGACCCTGAGATCATGACCTGAGCTGAAGGCAGACATTTAAAGGACTGAGCCACCCAGGTGCCCCTAAAAGCTTTCTTTCTAATAAGAGGAACAAAACAAGGATGCTCACTCTCATCATTTTTATTCTACATAGTACTAGAAGTCCTAGCCACAGCAATCAGACAAGAAAAAGAAAAGAGGGCAACCAAATTGAAAAGGAAGAAATAAAATCATCACTATTTGCAAATGACATGACACTATATATAGAAAACCCTAAAGACTACCAAAAAACTATTAGGACTAATAAGTGAATTCAGTAAAGTTGCAGGATACAAAATTAACATCTAGAAATCAGTTGCATTTCTGAACACTAATAAAGAGCTATCAGAAAGAAGAACTAAGAAAACCATTCCATTTTCAATGCACCAAAAAGAATAAAATACCCAGGAATGAAA